TTGACAATTTGAAGAGTTACCTGGGTCCAAATTTTGAGCTGATTGAAGATAAGCCAATGCCTTTCTTCATCAGAGAAACTGCTCGTAAAAACCAGTGGACTGTAGCACATGCCACCATTTGGAAAAGAAGGCAGGCAACACCTTGAATCCAAACTCTTAGCAATGTTGTTTTAGGATATCTGGTTGAACTTTAGGTGCAAAAGTAACGCAAACGAACTTCGACGAATTTCCTGACTTTTCGTGGCTTTTCGAGGGAATTCGGGTGTCCTTAAAGCTAAGACCTAAGACCCGGAAAACTAAGACCCTGTTTTTTTTTAGGGAAATCATCAAATTTCAGCTTCCTTTACCTTAAAGTGGTAAAATGAATAAAATAAATGCACTCACACTTAAAAAATAACAATTTAGTTGTATTTTTTTCCGGTATGGCTAGCCTCTTCCAGACTTTCAGTTTATAGTTGGGGCGCAGCGCGAAAGACTGGGCGCGAGAAAAAAATGTAATAAAAAGCGCGGCGAGAGGGGGCTACGGGTATGGAAAACGAAACTATTTCCGGTTGTCGCAGTGTGGCGTTACACCGTGTACTAAAGTTTGCGAAAAAACGAACGAAGCAAAGCAGTGCTTTGTCTACTTTGCAAAACGTTATTTTTCGAAAAGGTGCTTTGCGTTTTTCGTTTTCTTACCTCCGTATTATCACTAGAACGTATTACTTTGAAGCTACTTACTTGACGCGTGATAAACCTGATGTGCAACGTCCTTCCTGGCTCTTGGGTCTTGCTCATCAATCTCCTCCGCTCCAGACTCTAACCCACCATCTGTCATATCTGATTGCGAAACCAAAGACTCGACGATTTCTCCCTTCTCAACATTGGCGCTATAAACAAGCTCCGGCTAGCTAGGATCAGAAGGCTTGCGAAAGTCTAACTGTTTTCCAAATGCTCCTTTCGGTCGTTGCTTGAGCTTTGATGACCTGTAGTCCCTGATGTTTAAGCCTTCCTCGTTTAGGTGTGAAACAAATTTTCCAACAAGTTCTATCATGTTGAGGATTCTTGTTTTAATAATGACTTCACTTTGACGATAATGACACAATTTGCTAAATACTTTGCTGTAGCCTCGCTTTGCTGAGCTTCGAGCTTTGTTAGTGCCTCAAGGCGAACATAATTCTTTTAGCACGATCTGTGGTATTTAATCTC